GCAGGGAACTGTATGCAGTCAAAGAAAAAAAAACTGTGCCCAACAACCTTTTTGTCCTTTAAATTGACTGTCTTCAGACTTTCTGGTAGAGCTGACATTCTGCTTGTCACAGTGGCTCTAAATTGGGTATATTTTATCAACACTGCCAAAGCTTTTTTATCAAGCCCTGGACATTTCCAAGTTTAAGATGTAGTTTGATTAGAGGTGGGAAATGCTATTGTTTCACAAAATACCTCTTTCCGATGTTTTCCAAACTTGTATTTGACACAGAACGTGGAGAGGAGCAGTGTAATTTGTCACAGGCGTCGGCGCACCCCTAAGCACTACTGAAAGTGGGCAGCGGGAGCCCGAAGGCGGTAATGACTCTGAGTGCAAGGCGAACTTCTGCTCTGCAAGCCTGCTCCTTAACGCCCAGACAGGGAAAGGAGACAGAGTCAAGAGATCCCAACAGAATGACTCCAGCTGCTTAGACCACATTTAAATATCTCCTCCCAAAAGCCGAGAGAGAGCCCTGCTCTAAGACAGCAAGTCCAAGACCTCTGATTTTTCATTTGCCTTGAAAGCAGAGAGGGAGAAGGGGCGTCCACGTTTGCATGGATCATCACTGTGACCCCAAACTGAATCCAATAAAACTCTGACCTGCCTGGGTATTAACAATGCACATGCACACATGTATCAGCTGGCAATGACCACGGTGAACACACACACAAATGTAACTGTTCACTTCTGAATGAGAGAACTTTGAAGCATTTTTGATAGTTAATAAATCACAGGACTCCAATAGGCCAGTAAAATGTTTTATGACCTATAACACAAGAGTAGCATCAGCAATTAGTTCCAATGCTTTAATCTTCAATTATATGAGGTGGACATAGAAAGAAAGAAAAAAATCAACGTAGCTAATTGAGAAGATAACAAAGTATTCCCAAGTAGCGTCAGACCGTCCTTGTGCCATACAATCAATTAATATTAATTATTTATTAACAAGCTAGACCACAGCCAGAAACTAAAACGCATTTGCATTTAATCATGTTTGTAATGATATCATACTAAGCACGGTTTGGGACTATAAAATGTAATACCAAAGCAGAAAGATCTGATCAATGTAACTCTAAAAAGTAGAAGCAATTAGGGAAAGCCACGAACAATCACTCCGAAAAGTGAAAGTCCGGAACGATATTACTACTCGATTAAAACAGTGTGCAGCCAAAGCGAAGTCCATTACTTGCTTTTTAACCCAAGTTGCGTAGTCTGGGATCTGAAATTCAGCCTGGGAACTGAATGCAGCGCACACAACCCACACACAGGCACAGGGCTCAGCACACTCCCTCGGCCGAGGCGCCCTGCGCGGCACCGGCCCATCGCCACCCAAGGGCCAGTCGGTGGGCACCGCGTCTGCCGCACCGGGCCAGGCTGCCACCGGGGCGCGGGGCGCGGGGCGGGCACCAGGCGAGGGGCGCGCGGCCGCCGGCCCTGCGATCCCAGGACCCTCGCCCCGAACTAGTCCCGGACTCAGCCCGGGAGGACCGGGCCGGGCTCGCCCGCACTCCGTGCCCGCGGCCCGGCCGCCCGGCGTGCAGAGGCCGCTCCAGGCCCGGCGCCCGCGGCGGCGGCGGCGGCGAAGTTGGCCTGGCGTCCGCGCGGGCAGGTGCCGCGGCCGCGTCCCCGCCGGACCCCGGGCCACGCGCGCTGCCGGCCCCGCACCCGGACCGGACCGGACCGCACCGGAGCGGAGCCCGCTCCCGGGACGCGCGGGCCCGGGACCCCGGCCGCCAGCGCCCCGGACCCCGCTCCGGACCCCGGGCCCGGCCACCTGCCCGCAGGGGGGCGCGCGGCGCGGCGCGAACTTCACGCCCACTTTCCGTTTCGCTTCGGCCGCGCGGCGCCCGGGAAGTTCCCGCCGCGCGGGTCCGCGGCCACGGCGCGGCGCGGTCCCCGGAGCCCCACTTACGTTTGATCTGGCGCGGCTTGCTCTGCTTGCGCCGGGACATCGCGGCTCGGCTGCGGGCGGAGAGGAGCGCGCGGGGCCGGTGACAGCGGAGGACGCGCCCGCCGCCCGCGCCCGCGGAGATGCTGCCGCCCGCCGAGCCGAGCCGAGCCGAGCCGCAGCCGTCCGCGCCCGGCGAGGGGGGGGGAGGGGGAGGGAGGGGCGTCCGGGGGAGGGGGAGGGGCGTCGCGGGGGAGGGGGGAGGCAGGGGGAGCAGGGAGGAGGCCGCCGAGGGGGATTGGCTGCGGCCGCGGGCGGGGCGCCGGCCGGGATGCGCAGAGCAGGGGGCCCCGCCCGCGCAGCTGGAGGACGCCCCGGCCCCCCAAACTTTGGCGGCCCCGCCTGCGCCCCCGGAGCTCAGGCCCGGCCGGGCCGCCACAGCCGGGGACCAACGCCACCGCGCGTCCGGGCGCGGAGTCCCCGCTGCACCCGGAGCGCAGCCGCACCCGCGGGGCCGGCTCCGGCCTCCAGGTCCACGCGGAACAGCGAGGTCCACCCGCGAAGACTCGCAGGTGCCGCGCACCCCAAAGCCGGCCGGGCCGTGGGCCGCGTGGCTGCAGGCGAGATGCGTGGGGCCCCCGAGTCCCGCGAACCCCAACTTCCCGAGGCGCTGCTCCCACCCTGCCCCTGCCCCTGTCCTGCACCCGGGTTCTGCCCAGGGCGCACCAGCGACTAATAAATACTCTGCTCCTGCCACCCTTTCCCAGGCAGGTAAGAAGACCCCGCCACGGTGTCAGACTGAGTTTCTAAAGTTAGTTTTCTCTTGGCTCGTCCTTGTGTGTGTGGCAGGTTGACGCAGGGCCAGAGGACGACGCACTTTGTGAGGATTCGCGTAGGCGCTGTGGCCCAGGTGTACCCAGCTCGCTGAGCTGCGTGTTCCATGTCCTCCAGGATGGGCGCAAAGGACTGCCTCGGCCTCAGGAGCTGCAGTTCAAGCGCGGCCCCACGCGGTTGGCTCATCCCCCCAGGAGGTCCTGAGATTGTCCACCCGGGTCTGAAACTGGGGCCCCCTTTGTGTGACTGGCATCAGTGTGAGCCCCACCAAGTGCCACCTTGAGAGAGTTTGGGGTCAGCTCAGGGCATCAGCTGAAGGAACCTAAGGCAGAGGCTCACAGCCTAGGACGCAGGGCCAGCAGCGTCCGTCAGCATCAGGGCGGCTCTGCGAGGTGGGAAGAGATGTGCGGAGCAGGGTCTGGCCAGGAGACTTAATACCAAGCAGAAGACCAGTCGAGCAATCTATTACCATTAGTGCTGTGGCCCAGGGGTTGTGAGAGTACAGAGCAGGTCCTTTTGGAGTGATAAAGTCCTTCCCTTGAAAAGCCAACAAATGAAGGTCCTGAGTGCCGCCAGAAAGCACGGTTATTTGTGCTTGTGTGGTGCAATGAATAAAGACTGAACCACAGATTTGTAGCTCCTTCATTTTCCTTTCATGACGATTAAATCTGTGTGCTTAGAGTCTTAGAATCACAGGTGTTTGATATTGTGGTTGTCAAAGATCTTTTACAAAACTGGCCGGCTTTTTATGTCACCCAAAAGGAATGCCCATTGGAATTGAAATAACATAACAGTGTTGCTTTTGGCATTGGACGTGCTTAAATATGCAAAGCAAAAGAGAAACAAATAAATCTCAACTAAAGGTTCAGCTTAAAAACTGAAAGCAAAAAAGTCAGGAAATATAAGCCAAGATTGATAAAATAACCAGAATGCATCATTAGAAATAGTGGTAGTTTGTCTAAATTTATGCATGTATATTAACTACAGTCCATGTGACTGAAATAAACCGAGGAATACTGTTGTGTTTTGTATTTCCCCCTCATTTTGAGTGAAAATATGAACAATATTTAAGGTCTGATTTTTCTTGTCTTTTTAACCCAGTAAGATTATAAAATAAAAAGACAGCAAAACCTATAAGCAATTATCTCTGTCTAAATGGATATTGCTGCTTCAAACCGCAGCTACATGACTATCAAACAATGATTATGAAAACCGCAGTGGAGAAGAGAGAGCATCAGGGAACGATATTGCAAAACCACAGTAACAAACGCGACTGTGATACTGAAAACCACAGCTCACAACTAATGCCTGTGTGCTGCAAATTACTGTTTAAATGTAAATGTGCAAAGGTAAAAGTGATGGCACACAGTGATTCCTCATTTACTTAAAAATGGATTATTCATTTTCCAGACTCACCAGTTTAATGTCTACCTATTGGTTTACCTGGAAAAGTTCTGCTTTCAAAAAATCCTTTGAAATAACAAATAAAAGGTTAGTCAGTTTAAAACAGAGAGCATGCAACCTTTAATCATATTTTATGAAATGTTAAAAACTGATCTGAAATAAGGAAATATCTACCTCTGTATAGCTCTCTCTATGAAGGTCTTTGGAAATGAAGAGCCTTGTAGCACTGAGCACAAACTGGGCCAGGGAGGGCTCAGGGTCCTTTATCACAGCTTCAGTGAGAATGTAACTGTCCGTGATCATAAACAGCCATTTTTAGCTAGAAAACTTGTCCCACAGTGACACGAGACACCATTACCAAAACTTCTTCAATATGGGAAGGCAAGCATTGGTCTACAAATGAGAGAAATTAAAGTACTGCAATTTTCTAAGATTGCCGTATTTTTCAAACAAATATACAAAATGCCTAGTTAAACATGAATTTCAAATACACAAAAATCGATCTGTAGTATGAGTATGTTCTATGAACTCTTTGGGTATATACTTATCCTAGATCATGGGGCTTATCTGACATTCAGATTTAACTGGGCATCTTGTATTTTATCTGGCAAACCTGTAAGCTGTTTAGCATTTTCCCATATTTATGGTTGTTTATAATATTGTTTATTTAAAAAGGCAGAGAAACCCTAATGTGCTTCCTGCAGACATAAATATATATAATTCTTGAATGCTGTATTATTCAGAAACAGCAAGGTAGAAGGAATAAATTTCTCTATAAAAGTTCTTACTTTATTTGACACAGTATGAAATGCACCCCCAATGTAAATGGGTTGCATTCATGTGTGTCTTACCCTCGGATTTGTTTTTAAAATGTGTTTTTTTCCTCCAAAGGATCGACAAATTGATAGAGCAGCCTCCAAGGCCACATCTTATTAGACAGCAAGCTGCCTTCTTTATTATGGGAGTAAATAATATCCAAAAGCTTTAGAAAGCCTTAATTTTTGCCTTGGTATTCGCACCAGAAATGGAACACAGTTTATCTGCCTTGATTTAAGATTATGACACTGAATTGAACAAGAATACTGTGTGAAAACAGTGTTTAGTATTTGTGGATCTTTATAATTTCAACAGTTTAAAAATAACAATCAACAAATTCATCTAAATGGCATCCTATTTTACAACTACGAAAAAGACTATCTGCTTCCTTGCAAAGGAGCCCGGGGCTTTGAAAGGATTCAGTCAGTCTAGAGCAAGAGCTCTAACTCAGTTTCATGTGGACTGCCCACTCCCGGAAAGACGTCTACATGCGCAAATGGTTTTCTAAGGGGTGGACCTATTAAATTCATCAGCTTTCCAAATTATGTGAAAAAATATTCTGTGAACCAATGTGGCTTAAGAAACACTGTTGTCTTTGCGAATGTTTATGAGACATTGAAAAAGCAGTTGTGGGTGATTGCAGTGTTGCTCTTTGCAAACAAGTCGCTACACTGATACAGGAAAGTCAGGTGAACCCTATTAAAGCAATTGTTTGTCCCCCTGTTTGAGAAACGCAAAACTTACCTCTGGCCCAAAACAACTATTAAAGTCATGGCTGCCCTGCGTTTAGAGACCTCTATGGATCTTGCTGCCTAGCACTGTCCTGGGTAGGAATGCCATCTCTTAAGGAATGAGTCCTCCTTACCCAGAGTGCAGTCAAGTGTGCGAGACCCTTCCTCCCTCGGATTAACAGAACGCTGCCTGGGTCTCCTGCAGTGATGGGCCGCAGTACCCCACACGGTTCCTGTTGGAGTCTACTGGGGACTTTTCCCTGAAGTCACCAAGTAAGACAAGCTGTCTCTCTTCTCTGCGGCTGCACTGAGAGCAGCAGGCCAGCATCAGGGAAGAATCCCAAGTCAACACAGAGGACTGCTTCACCTCATCTTGTCCTAAGATTAGGACTCTGGACATTGCGTTGTCTGAGGTCCATCAGCACTGTCCATTCCACGTAAGCGTCAGAGTCTTGGTTATGTTGGTTATGTATTTTGCTGTCATCTGTTACCCTGGTGAACCCCTTAACATCTGCTTTCCTCCCATAGACGCTCTCCACCAGGGAGCACGCAAGTCCCAGGAAGGGGCCTTGCGGTGGGTTCCACATCGTCTTTTTTACCACCATAAAGGCATGTGCTGCATCAGATTACACTGGAAAACTAATTCCATGTAAGCTCAGGGCTCTGTCTACTTCCGCACACTTACCCTCACAGCAAGATTTAAAAAAGCAAGAAACATGTCTGTCTTTTTACTAATTATGCCCCAAGTGCTGGTCACATAGAAGGTCCTAGCAAAATTGTTCAAAACAAAAAACAAAACCAAGGTTCAGAGTTAACCCCATGTTCTCTGAGGACTCCTACATGCCCAGTAGAGCCACACACAGGGACAGGACATGGTAGCCACACCTGCACGACAGGACTCCTCCGTGTTCTCAGTCTGCTTTCAGAAATATTACGCAAAACTCTGGATGATTGCCGTGCTTGCCCTGAACAGCCCCCACAGAGCAAACAAATCTCACGAATCCTGCCTGGGCCGCTCTGCAGTGAGAACACAGATCAGTGAAGAGGTTATCAGTCATGACTGGACATTTGCTTCCGTGGAGTAATCTTTGGGGAAAGTTAGTGTTTTTCCCAAGTCAGTGATCCTAAGGGCGTGGTGATGGATTGCCAAGCACGTCCGTGACCCTCCTGATGGGAACGATTCTGGGTCCAGAGGTTTGCTTTTACTTTCAACTTCCCTTGCGGCCTTTGAGCAACCATCGCACAGATTACCACGCTCATGCACCTGGTGAATGCTCTAACAATCCACATGAATAAGGGTTAGACTTCTAAGATGACTTTTAGTTTTGAACCTATAACTTTTGTTCTAAATTCCCGAATGTAAAAGAGAAAGCTAAAAAGATCTTGGGAATACTTGCTGTAGGTAGAGCCTTAATGAAATCACATATCTTTGCTGTTATCTTGCCAAAATAACATTCAACTAATGCGTTGGGATGAACGTAGGGTGAAAGGCAGATGTAGGATTAGGAATCACCACACTCGGGCACGCTGATGGGAAAATCACCCAAAAGGAGCAGGAAAAGATGTTTATACCACTTTTTAAATGTATCTGGTAATGAAAATTTAAAAATCACGATTAACATATTTCTTTTAGAATGCTTTTGCTAAATTATACAAGCAACTATATGCACAAAGATTTGAAGATCAGAGAGATTTGCTATTGTTCTTTTGGTATTTTTTGGTACTGGGAATCAGCCTCAAAGACCTTGCACTTACCGGGCAAGCACTGTACCGCTGAGCTACATCCCCAGCCTGATCTGAGAGATTTCAGCGCTCATAATGAACATTAGGTATCTGTGCTCTTCACATCCCATTGATAATTGCTGTTCAGAAGTATAATCATCAACTCTGTTTAGATGCTTCTTCTGGTGTTCACCTTCCATTTCCAGATAACATGGCTTTCTGTTTTTTGACTGTTGACTATATTGAGTATCAAGCATGAAACTACAAAGATGTGGTAGCTTCATACCCTGCAAACACACATCATCTAAATTTTTGGTTAAGTCAAACATTTGCATATTTAGAAACAGCTAGAGAGTATAAGGTGTGAGGATTATTTTCTTTTGATCAAATTCTGTTTTCCCTGGAGTTAATAATGACTTTCTTTACCATTTCTTGTTTTTCTGTGGCCTATTCTGATTTGCCCTCAAAATCCTTCACTGGGCAGTTTGACACACACTGGGGTACACCAGCGCCCCAGCATTGGGTACCTACCATGCGGGCCTGTCCCCTGCGGAGGAAGATGCCCTGCTCCTCTCTAAAGTAATGGATCCTGGAGCCAAAATTTCCATTTCTTCATCATTCTGGGAGTTCTCCTGGTTTTTTTCTGTATTGGATTTTAGGTTTCTTCATTTGCTGTGTGATACGCTATCATTCTATCATGGCTTCTCTCTCTCTCTCTCTCTCTCTCTCTCTCTCTCTCTCTCTCTCTCTCCCTCCCTCTCATTTTTCTCCTTTGTTGGTTGAAATGCTCAATAGTTGCCTGAGAAAATGTAAATGTGAGCTCACTTCTTTTTAGCATTTGGGATAAAAATGGTTTGGCAAGACGACAGTTCTCTGTACAGTCACTCTCGATCTGGTTGACCACGTCATGAAGCCCCCATTCTAGGTGGGGCATTGTTTGCTCTTGGTTTTCAGGCAGTGCTTCCTGGCTCTCTAGTGCTGGCTGGTTCTGCTCAGTTTGCTCCAGCAGCCCAGTGCAGCCGCTGCCCCAGCCCCCGGGAAGCTTCCCATCCTTAGCCTCCACCTTCTGGAATTTTACCTGTGGTGCCCCCTTCTCCCCGCGAGCTAAGGACTCCTTCACCATTTTGGCCTGGGAACCTGTGTCTGGTCACCAGTTCTAAGACATTTCCTCGTGTTTTGCTCCTACGGCACACCCATCACTGCTCTGGGGTCTCCGTGGACGACCACTCCTTCTGTTCTCTGTTCTTTCCTTTTCCTGTTTCCCGTTGGCCACTTGCATTATTTTCTGGAAATGTTTCTTTCACTTTGTCATCTGAGCTTTTACTGAATTTCAGGCTTCTGCGATCATATTTTAATGTCTTGGATTTACTTCTTAAGTGTTCTTTTTCAAGGTATCCGTCTTTGTTTGGCTGCTTCGAGTCTCTCTCTGGCCACTAACTATACATTGCTTTATGACGATTTCGTTGGTCCCATGAAAACTTTCTGTTTCCTTGGGGCCTCATTGCTTTTACCCTTTTTTTTCTCAAAGATTAAGCATTTATCTTTCATGTTAGAAGTTTTCATACAGATTTGGTCATTCTTTACTTTTTGCTTCTAATGACTGAAACTACAAATAACTTTCCTCTACATGAAAAGGGCAGAAATTGGGAATTAACGATTCCCACGGAAACTCTGCCCCTGTCCTCTGTCCAGCCCTAACCACGCCCACTGCCTGGGTGTCCACTCGGCCTCCAGCATGCCCTTCCTTTCGTCACCCTGTGAAGCCACGTCAGCTTGTGCTGGCTGAGACTCCTGCAGGGAGTTATCCTGCAGCTTTCCCTAGTAAACTAGGTCAATTTCCACTCTCAGTGGTTTACAAAATTTATTGACTGATCCTTCTCCTATTTCTCTCACTCACCCTCTCTCAATCTCTTTGTCTCTGTCTCACTCTCTCTGATCTGGTATGTATGTTATTTTTAAAAATGATCTTTTCCTGGCATTGCAAAATATCAGGAGAGAAGGCAAGCTCATAAGATCAGTTACCCCAAGATAGTCCAACCTGAATTCTTCAATATACCTTTGCTTTTGTTTTTTAAATTACTCTTACTGTGTACCCGCACTTTATCTCAGTAATACAGTGGTGTATTGTAAAATAAATCGTAAGTGGGAGAATCATAGAAGTGCTATGATTTGGATACGGTTTGCTTCCTACTTGTTCCGGACCGTCCTAGTGAGGGGGGAGTAAGGGTAGACCTGGCAGAAGGTCATCGGTCATTGTCTGCACCATTGGAAAGGATCAGTGTTAGTCTAAAAGGACTGTGGCTAATGGGTTTCTACAGGGCTCCGTCACCCATGGTTACTACGTGCCACTGGGTCTTCACCATGGACAAGCAGGCACCAGCACCAGGCTCTGACCCTCCAGAGCCACAAGCTGGATAAAACTATTCTTCTTTATAAAGTACCAAGCCTTGAGTATTTTGCTATAGGAACTAAAAATGAACTTCTGTGCAGAACGTATAGTTCTAGCCCCTTTCCTCTCAGAACACAGCACCAAGAGGTAACTACATTTAACCCCTCCTGTGATGTCACACAGTATACCTGAGAGTCTCCTTATTGGTGCATCAAACTTAGAAGGCGTTGCTGTCACTATCTGGTGTTAATTTGCACATTCCTATTGTTCTTCTGTCTCTGCCTCGCCTTTCTCACTTGTATTGTAAAACTCAGTGGCATGTTTTGTTCAGCAGCTGTTTGCTTTCACCTTTGGTCTGCACATTAATTTTTCAGGTTGAGAATTATGTACAGTGTTGGAGAACCTCTTCACTGAATCAAAGGCACCTTCTATAACACCACTCCACTCCATGTACAAGAGAATTTGTCTAGTCTAGGCCACACCTGTGATTTTCCCTTACATTCCACCAACTGGCTACAATCATGCCTAGGATTAGTTTGCTTTGTAATCAGATCATCACTTTTTCAAGCAGATTCTTTTATTTTAAATGAATTTTACTTTTTAAAAAACCGATCCTCTATAATTGCACAGAGAGTTACGGGCACAATTTTATGGTTGGTACTCAGTTTGTCTTTCTTTTTTGCTGTCAGGAACTGTGCATGACTAACATTATTTAGTTCCCAGCCCATTTTGGTCCCGGCTTGGGTTCCTGTTCATTCCTCTCCTGGAGGATGTATATCCCTCCTGTGGCTCCTCATCTACCTGGTACACTAATGGAGCTTTTGCCAGCTGTTCCGTGGTTATCCTGGAAACTATTTTCAGTGGCCTGATTCTTGAGCTTTTCCCACATTTTATATCCTATCTTCCTCATTTTTCTGAAGTCTGTCCTCAAATAATCTTCTCAGAAATGGTACATGTGAAATAAAACTTTAACTTTATGTATGTGAAAATGTCATTATTTTATTCTTACCTTTTTTCTGGTTGTTTAGCTGGGAATGTAATTTGCCCTGAGAAATTTGAGAGAGAAAAGGAGTGTTCTGTTGTTCGCTAGCATTCAGTGCTGCTGATTAAAAACCTGGTTTCAGTACAAAGCTCTGATACTGTCTCTTGACTGTCTCACTTACTGTATGAAATTTTACAGATACATGCAGTACCACTGTGTGTTTGTGTGTGTGTGTGTGTGTGTGTGTGTGTATGTGTGTGTATCTTTTGAGACATGAGTTAACTGTGCACTTCACTCCTCCTGCCTCAGTCTCCTGGGTGCTGGGTTTACAGGCCTGCACCACCACACCTGGCCTGAATGTTCTAAATTTCAGTCCGGCAGTCACAGTTTTTCTGGGCTGCCCAGCAGAAACCTGGCTTCCTCAGCCCTCACGAGCACCTGCCGTTCAGGAGAGTTTGCTCATCGTGCTGTATGGGAGTGGGGGTTCTCTAATGAACTCTAATCCTGTGGCATAATCTCATATTCCTCTTAGTGATTAATTTAGGAGGGGGTAAAGGACCCAAATCTGGACAAGAGAAGAACTTGCTGGAGACATTGTGAAAGCAATCTTTGTTCTTAAGAGAGAATTATGGGTCGTGTTTTTTCTTTCTCCTTCTAGAATTAGGCACCAGCAAATGCTGCATTTCTTTCTGTGTCTTCTACTTTTCACAATGGGGAAAGCTGCCTAAAACAAGCCCTGCTCCCAGAAAAGTGCACAGCAAAGACACTCGCGGGCAAATACAGTGGAATTTGCTCCTACCAGGCTCAGCGTGTTCTGTGCATTTTGATTTCCTGGGCAGTAACATTTGTTAGCTTGGAACCATTTCTGTTAGGTTTTTGTTACCGAAACCTGAAGGTATCTTAACTGATGCAAACCTGTAGAAAGATGAGTCTTTTATCTTGCATTCTTGAGTCACGTGGGCCGAGGAGGAGGGGTGGAAGCATCCACGGGGAGTGGGAATTTCATCCTGTGCTCTGGCTGTGAAGCTTAGTAGTCAGACTTTCTGTTCAGCCAATGGCGTTGTGCCACCTCTGCTGAGCCGCCAGTGGTAAATCCACCTCTGTAGATGCGTCTTGTACCCGGCACGCTGTCATTACTGTCCCTGGTTTGAATATTAGTGTGTCTACCACTTAGCAGTTAATTTTTTGCACATTATTAAATGTTTGTGTGCATCAGTTTACAAAAATGGAAACGTAACGCTGCCTACTGCAGACTTGAGCCATGTATATTAAATGTGTTAATATATGTGAAGGGCTTAACATGTGAAAAGCATTGTTTAATTATTAGCTACTAACAAATTAGTCCAAAATCTTCTTCGCCTTATTTTGTACTAGCAGAACCCTAATCTTGTTCACACTATCGGGTCAAGGTTGTGCTAATTTTATGAGGCTACTTCCCAGTAGGTTTGGCTGTGGGATGTGGTTCAGGCCAATGAGCTACAAAAGAAAAGCGACCAGAGGACTCCATGAAAGCCCAAAGTGCTATTGCTTGAAAGCCGGATGCAGTTCCTTCTCCACCACGTCCTCCTAGCTTGAATGGGACATGAAGCTTGGGGGTTACAAAGCTGAATCCTGGCTCTTGGAAGGCTGTGGTTTTATTTGTACTTCAATATATTTCTATCTCCTTCATATTTTGTAAATTGCTTACTAATGTAAACACAAGGTTTTGAGTGACCTCTTTCCATCTCCCTTGCCTTTAATGCTGTACCTTTTCTATCACCAGGTTTGTTTCTCTGGAAGAAAGAACCAAAATATCGCCTACTCTGAGGACTATCGACTTTTAGCTTCAAATCCAACACATAACGTAAGCTTGAGTCATTTGCAGGAAAGTGGCTGCACTTTGAAACCATGTTAAGTGAAACATCGCAAACACAGGCTTAGATATCACATAGTTTCTCTTTTATGAAAAACTCAAAGTATAAATAAAGAAAAACAGAAGACAATAGGAAGCAGGGAAGTCTTTTTCAAAGGGGAAGGGAACAGGAGATGGGGAGGCGGGGCAGAAAAGGGCTGAAAATAGGGATTCATTTTTCTTTTAAAAAATTTTATTAAAAATAAAAGAATGAAACCAGAAAAGAAGAAAATAAGAAAAAGCAGAAAACACATAGATTAATATTTTGAGTCTTACATTTCTATAAAAATAAAAGAGACTCAATAGTCTGATCAGCTTTGATAAAGGAACAAAATTAGAGCTCCAGCCCTCTCCAGTCCCACAACTTATCACAAAGTTGCACCAATCATGACAAAACGTCACTGATGCCAAGATGGACAAATCGCCGAGGTACCAACATTAAGTCCCAAAATAGATACGCACACAACAGACACTGATTTCTGGCAAATCTGAAAAGCAACAAATGGAGAAAGGACTGTATCCTCAATAAACATATGGGAACAACTGGATGTCCCCATGCAGAGACCCCAAACCTTACAGCACATCCAAAACTTAAGACATCCAAAAGTCACCTCAAAATGGCTCACAGTGGGTTAAAGTGAAGGCAGGGGTGGCCTGAGTCATTGCTCGGCTGATCACTCTCTCTGGGACAAAGTACATGTTTTTTCCTTATCATACTAATGAGGCAATGAGATGGTTATGATGTGTAACATGTTCTTTCACTCGTAAGAATGTTTTCATGGAGCATCCATTTACCTAGAAAAGTGTCCAGTTGTATCAGGCACTTTTATCTTCTCACCAGGAATGTAAACATTGTGCACTGCGAATACTTACTAATAAAAATAAATAAAATGCACGACACACACAGTATCCATTATCAGACACTGGGAGGGGCAGGGGCCCTGGAGACACGCGGAGTATCTGTGCTGGTCCTAGGCATTTGTGTGTAATTAAATTCCTGTACCACTTAGGGAATTTTATTGATCACTCAGCCTCTTTGTTCTCATTAGTGATCATTAGATTTTTTTCAGGTTCTATATTTGATGTCTCTATATTGCTAAATGTTACTTTTAAGTACTGTATTTAGGCTGTGGATTTCTAAAGAGTAGGAGCTTTGTCTAAATATTTGATTTGTGTGCTGCTTACTTACCTAGACAGAGTTTTTAAATGCTCTTGATAATGTTGACAATTTGTCAAATGTTGAAATGAATTTTGCTGATTACCTTTCTGGCTGCAGTAAGTTGAAGAGCTCCATCCAAATAGTCACGTCTTTGAAACCAGTTGCACTGAGAATTCCTAATCTAGATGTCTGGAAAAAGAGCAGGTACCTTCTTACTGTGATGTTTATGTTGCAAGAAATAATCTACCAGTAAGGAGTACTGGTTTAGAATTTTCAGGAAAAGATGGCTGCTTATTAGAATACTTGGCGGAAGGATATTTTGAAACATTCTAGAATATTGGGAAATTTAGTTCATGACTAGGTGTTTACGTATATAGGACTACATGACTTCATTTAAATATTCTCAATAAATGTAACATTGAAAGACTAAAGACCTAGACAGATGTCATCAATTCTATTTTCTGTTTCAGTTGTATTCTAAACCCAGCTTTTACCTGCATAGCTTTTAAGTCCTCCTTCCTGTAAGAATTCTGCTGCTACTTTGACACACACGTCCTGTCCCCCGTTTTTCTCAGGCTGGCAGGAAATGGCCCACCATGGATGGCCAAACAGGAAAGCGCTGCCCGCTGATCACCCCTCTCACCAGAAGCCAACACAGCAGTGTGAGCTATTTATGGCAGCGGTAAAATATGGAAGGGTTTCCCTTTTACAAATGGCGAGGCAAAGATTGCCTTTCTGGTGAAATATAACAAAACCCAGACTTCCTTGTGTAGGAGTCACTTCACACCGCATCTGTGCTGTGCACCGGACCGCTCCCAGCATCAGCACTGCTGCGTGGACAACGGCCTGAGGAAGGGAACCAGCTACAGTTTAATTCTGGTTTTTCTGCACTGGCTGGAATCCAAAACAGAGATTGACTTAAAAAGCAGATAACACTGAGAACAAGCCACTTATCGTATGACGCTAGCTGTTATGACTGTAACTTTGCCTTTCAGCCATGCTGTGAAATGGAAGCACCGTAAAGAAAGAAGGCAGAGGGAAGGGAGATGAAGGGGAGGCTACAGCATCACGGGCAGGGGACACTGATGAGCTATAAATTTGGCCCACAAACATTGACTCATTGATTTTCGTTCAGTCATGTAGTCATTCAAATGTACTCTCTGAGTATTTGTAGCACATCTCCCTGTCTTCAGAGGCTTGCAATAAAAAGAGAAGTTGCAAGCAAAGTGAACTACCGATGGTAGTTTAAAACTGTGCTCCAGGAAACCGATAATCACAAGAGAACCTCAGCAAGCGGAGCGAAGGGGAGTCCTCTGAAGGTGGACGGCTTGGATCTTTGCTACTCAGGGCGTCACAGCCTGCCTTCCTTATGCACCTTTTATCGAAATAAACAGAACCAAGAATGTGGTCCAGGGCAAAACTAAACAACCCTGAATCTCTCCATTTTTATCTACAACCCTTGGTGGTGGGGAAACCTCTCTAGGTCCCTCGAACGGCCTGGTCACTAGGTATTTATTTGGCAAGGTCAGCAGCCAGGGGCCAGCTGGCTGACGGTTCAGTAATAACGGCGACTCGCCCTGCTCTAGTGAGGAACGGGCAGAACGTCAATAAACGCCGAAAATGATGAAGATATCGATTTTAATTAAGTGAATGCCTCCATGACTTTTCCTGACTCTTTTCTTTCCTAATTCCTTATTTAAGATTAAGCCTCCTTTTTGGACAATGTGCAGGGATTTTCCAGATAGAAGACTTGAGATGAAATAATAGTTTCGACATAAGTAAAACACAAAAAGAAGCTCTTTCTGAGCCGGGCTTCTCCAAAGGTGTGCTGTGTGGTGTTCTTTATTTATTATGCTCTGCAGAAGACAGCGGTGTCGGGAACTCAGAGAAGCAGGAAGCACAGACCTCAGTTTATGATGCGCCGACTGAAGATAATTATGCTCAATGAAGAGCAAGGAAAACACATTTGATCTATAGCACAAGTATGTAGATTCTGCTGCAGAAAAGTTTCATATAAACCATTTTCCACTCTGTAAATAGGTCATTTAAATATGCAATGTTTTAATGGAGATATTCTTTATTAATGCATGTGTCATTGATTGAATTACATTTCCACTAAATCCATATATTGAATCGTTACCTCAAGTATCTCAGGATATGACACCATTTATAGCCAGGTTCTTCTCCAAGGTGACTCAGTTTAAAGAAGACGCTCGAGATGGGCACACAGTGGCTGGTGTCCTCTCTCGAGGGGAAGTTTGGAGATAGCACGTGCAGAGGGAGAAGACGACTGCAGATGAAGGCGGGTAGCAGAGAGCGGGTAGCAGAGCTTTCCAGACAGACCCCTCACCTCGCAGAGAAGCACTGGCCTGTTTTTCCTCCCAACCCCAAAAGGAATCAAGCCAGCCAGCTCTGCACCTCCTCTGTGCTATACAATGTAGATCATGAATTGCCGTAGGTCCACGGTGACCCCAGCGTCGTAGCAAACACACACTGTGGGTCTTTCAATACTCTCTTCATAAGGCTACACACCGCTCTGTGGCTCCTGGTATTAGTAACAGTAACAACAGCTAGTTGTTCTGTTTTGTTTTATTTTGGACACTTAACATATCCCAAGCTCTGTCTGATAAATGTTGACCCCTTAAGATGAGTGGGGAATGAAGGAAAGATTTCTTATTTGGAAATAATAGTTATATTATTTTATTACTATTAATAATTAATGTTAAAGTATACTTTATTAAGTCACCGAGGATTTTGGAATGCCTTTTAGGAGTTAATATTCTTTACCGCAATAGGGAATGTACTGCCTAGAATTACACTGCTGTCCCACCAAAATCCAAATCTGTTAAGCTGCAGGGTTGATGGAACATGACACAGAGTTGCTGCTTAGGCTCCAACAAATGTGCCAAAAACCACTGCTCACTATTGATTAGGAGTAAATCCACACACTCTCTCCATGTGTCTTGGAATTGTGCAAAGTCTTCACAACATAGTATGTTTATTAATAATGTTGTTTCTATTAACTGATTCACAAATTATTATGAAGAAGAAACAAGCTTGGAGGAGAATTAGTTTACAAGCAGAAATGAAAGAGAGCTCAGGACTCCAAATCTTTCAGAGTTAGAAAACTTAACGTCTGTAAAACTTGAACTAAAAGACTGAGCAATAAGACATGATAAAAATTAAAAATTCATGTTTAAATAAAATGACTCAAGACACGGTGCTTTTTAGGAAATTCTGATATCAAGGAAACCACAAGTCCACTCTTGGTAGGTGACTTACTATTTAAGTCAAAATGCTAAAATCAATCCTTGAATTCCCACATATGGAAAACAGCCTTTGAATGCCTCTCCCCAGAAGGGCGTGATCTCCAGCTCATTCCAGATGCCACCGAGGAGCTTAATGACCAGGAGGAGGCTCCAAGAGGTTCCACAGGGAGGAAAGGCCGGGGTAACTTCCCAGAGAGGAAAGCCAAGGGAGCCTAGGAAGCCTCACCCCTCCACTGCACCCCTGCCTTCACGAGGAACTTCACAGTGTCACAGGTGCTGCATGCAGTCACAGCTGGGCCCCCGGAGTGTGCAGCTCGCATACATCTTCTGTTCTCCCCTTCCCAATTCAGAGAATTTCTTGTAGACATCTCCTGGTCTGTGGTGAGATGGAATGCAGAGCACTTGTCGTTTTGGCCCAGAGACCACCTGGCCTTGAAAATCTGTTTATAGAACTCAGAGAGAAGACTAAGGTCCTATGTCCCCAAGTGCCTCAATGCGTGGAGGAACACAGCGTTATTTCCCATTCAGAGGGGGTGGGTGCAAGCTTACTGGATGTGTGAGAGGAGGACTGAGCCAGCTGTGCTATTGATGAGGGTGTGAACTATGGCTGAGATCAGCATGCCATGTGTTATGAGTTAAGAACTGGTGGTCAGCTTAAGGCCAGCTGGATTACATCAGCATAGTTCTGAGCAAAGATGCTCCAACTGAGGAAAGATGCCAGCATAAACAGGTGGAGAAGGAGAAGGAGGCACTAAGGTGTTGAGGTGGTAATGCGTTGTTGCATTGAGGCATTGTGGGTTCTCCTACGAGTTGCTGTTTGAGCCATTGGTTCTTCTGGAGAAGCTCTGGTCCTCACATCAAGCATTGCTTCCTGGCTCCAGAGGGGAAGCCGTGTGCTGCTTGGTCTCCAGGATGAACTTGTCACACTGGCTTCCTGTCACATGCCTGACTGTGCTTGTCCTCAGAGGAGCTCAGGGCCTCTGTGTTGCTGAGGATAGCTATAGTACTTTTCAGGACATCCCTGGTTTTTGTTGTGAGTGTGACTTCTCGGCTCCAGTATAAAACCCTCATCCCACTAGCACAGCTCCTTCACCCCGCTGGCATAGACTTTCTGGCTTCCACCATTGAACTTTGGGCCTTTCCAGAACGGATCCATAGAAGAGACTGGCGTGAGTCCCTCTTGTGGGCCCTGGACTTCCAGTTGGACTCGTGGGGAGGCATTGTCATGAGCTCTGGGTATTCATCTGGACTCATGTGGGACATTGCTGTGGGATTTAGGCCCTTGGCTGAATATTGTATGTCTTTAGTGTTGCAGATAGATTTCCTGCATTATCTTAACTCCCAGTGACCATTATAAAAATAATATTGTACACTCCACGTCCTGACTCTAATTGTTCTCTGCACAGCCCCTGACTACAACACCATGTAATCAAAAAACTATTTCTTCTTCTTGGCCACACAACCCAGCTGTATCTTACTGTGCCTTGTGGTCAGGCAGGGAGTATGTGACTTAGTTTGGGTCCATGTAACATGAGCAGAAATACTGTGAAACGCTTCGAGACTCAGTCCTTAGAGTAGTGGCCCACACTGCTCTATCCTCATAGCCTGTGTCAGTGTTGATCTTGTACATGGTTCAAGTGGACTAAAAGATGAGAACATGTTTGGTCCCTGAGTCCCCAGCTGGAGGGAGCATCTCGGAAGAGCTGGTGGACTGGCACCAGCCCATGGTGTATGTAAAAAATGAACATGGATTCTGAGTCTGTTGCCACAGCACAGCCAAGACTTGCCTGAGACTGATGTCCCACTGTCCCACTGCCCCACTGTCCCAGCTGGCACTGCAGCCAGAAGATCAAATTCTACCCTGCATCCTACGTCCACAGCAGTTTGCATTCATGGTGGCTTTCTAGGGCAATTTCATTCAAACTGCAGCTAGACCTTTCGCCCTGATTTGGTGATTCACCAGGAACGCATCTCCCAGGGTTACACCTGTTCACTGTGTGTTTCTCTATTTACCAGAGCTAACCCTTCCTCAAGGGAATATAGAGAAATGGTTATTATTTCTATAAAATATGCAAAAAGACTTTATCCTAGAGTTTCATGTTGCATGCTCAATTTATTTTATCAGCCTCTCTGCTTGCCATGAATTCCCTTCTCTCCAGTGGTAGGGACCAT